CGCTGTGAAGAGCTGGGACCTAGTGGGTGGTCTTTAGGCTTGGGGTTACCCTGGAAGGGGGCTGTGGGGCTAACCCGGGCCTCTTCCTCTTGTGGCCTCAAGCCATGAGGGAAGCGCCTTTGCTCTCCCCTGTGCTCCTACCATGATGTGCTGCCTCGCCAAAGGCCCAGAGCAACATGCACCAGACCCTCCAGACTAAGCCAAAAGCTAATCTTTTCTCTCCGCAAATGTCTCAGATGTTTTTTGATGGTAACAGAAAGTTTTTGCAGCTCTCAGGCCATGGGAATAGGAGTTAGAGGTAATATCTGGTAACGTGTTATTTCATAGCTAGCCTGGAGATAAGAGACAACAGTAGGTGACAATGAAACCTGATAGAGACAGCAGTAGGTGACAATGAAACCTTTCAAAGAAAACTCTACAAATAAAACTTCCTCCTATAGCATCATGTTCTTCATTGTCCTACAGTGCAGTTTCTTGGGATCAGGACCCAAGTTGCCGTGCTTGAGGCCTCTGCCTTATGAACTATGTTATCCTACAGTGATTTGCCTAGGGGGGGGGAAAAACCAATGTAATACCACAAAAATCCACTAGTTCTTACAAAATTAAATTTTACTTGCACTGAATTGGAAAAAACAAATACTTGACATTTCTTTGCATCCTTCTGAGCAGCTTGGGGGTTTTAGCATGAATTTTATGCATTTTATGAAGGTATTGTAAAAGCAAAGTCAATAATAATTAAGTACATCCAGATACATTTACAAACTAAAGTTGCACCAAAATATACAGTAAATGCCATTAATGTGAAGCTAATAGTATAATACAAGTGGATACTTTGTCAACTGCAAATCTATGAGTGGTAGCAGCCAGGACTGCTCTTCTACAGGGGTAATCAACTGAGAGGAATTCCCAAGAGGCTCTTATTCCCCAGCCCTTAAGGGTAAAAGTTTTAGTTAGGCTGTTATGAAATCTATTTTAAATTCTATACAATTCTAAACTGTCAATCTTAACTTAGTAACTGTCAATCTTGGCTGTCATAACTTAAATTTTAAAATTATCACAGGAAAAATTTCAATTTTTTTAATTGGTAGGTTTTAAGGCTGTGGCTCCACATTTGCCTAGCACACACACAGGTTGGCTCCAGAGCAGGGGAGGGGAGGGAGGAGGAGAGGGAAAGATCCTTTAACATTTGGGGTTTTTGTTTGCTTCCTTGTTTCCCCGAGGAGGACTGCAGTTAAAGGTAGCCGCACTAAATTCTGCCAGAACATAAGTTCTAAGAGAAAATGAATTTTCCCTCCACCAGCTCCTGCAACCAGAAGCTCCTCAAACCACACGATCTAAAACCAGTGCTGAGCCCTGGGAATTGGGAAGCAGCAAATATGCTTTCACCACATAGAAGGTACAACATAGTTTACCAGTAGGAATCACCCCCACCCCCAAAAAGGAAAACCTGAAGTGAAAAGCTTCTTTCTGGGCATGCAGCTCCATGACAGTGTGCGCTTACTGAAAACATGGCCCTGGATTCAAACACTAGCACCAAAAAAAGGTTTCAAGTCTTCCCCACTCAGGTGGACCTTGAGAAGCCTCTCATTTATTCCAAGGCATGATTGCGAAACTGAATTTTCAGGTATGAAGACAGCATAAAATATTAAGCATTCAAAAGGTTCTCTGCTTCTCAGACAGTGGAAAATTCTCAGAACTGAGTGGAGTAGGAAGAACAGCCATTCACCACTGCATGTTGTAATGTACGGCGTGGTCCCAGGCACTGGCCAAGATGCTCTACAGCAGGAGTGAAAGGACAGCAGCTCTGATGGGGAAAAGGACGTCTACACCACTTCCTGGCAGGTCCTCCTCTGCAGTGTCTGAGACCATCTGGGCACAGAGAACAGAGGGGACACAGTATGTGGGCTGACATATTCAGCTTTCTTTAAACTGCAGGTATTTGACTTTTTTTTTTTTCCCTTGGCGGAACCAGGGATTGAATTCAGGCCCCTGCACTTGCCAGGGAAGCGCTTATTCTACTGAGCCATCTCCCTGGTCCCGGCCATTCTTAGAAATAATCTTGACTAATGCTCCCTCTAGGTCCACAGTATCCACTGCTATGAGCAATAGCCGCCTGGACCCGAGGACGCCTGGACCCGAGGACGGGCCTTGCTGTCCTAAATGGATATGAAATCAGCGCCCTGAGAAGAGCACAGCCGTCTCAGATGGAACACGTTTCCCGTGCCAGGCCCTGCTTCCTTAGCAAGCCTGACGGGCACTCCCTGCACTTACATCAATTGGGACTGTAATCTCTACTTGCCTTTTCCCTTTATAAAATTTTCCACCATTTTTGTGCTGCTGAAGGGTAATCTCTGGAAGGAGGATCTGGGTTGAAAGTGTGGCTCAGTGGTAGAGCACTTGCCTAACATGCACAAGGCCCTGGATAGATCCCCAGCAAGAAAAGAGTCTTCAGACTATTGACCAAACCTTCCTCCCTTTAATAAACACAGGCACAGGTTTACATTACCTAGGGCTGCTCCTCTGCATCAACTCAGGCAAAGCTGAATTGCTGTGGTTCAAGCCACACTGCAGAAATTTACTATATTTACCAATCTCTGGCTTAGAATGCTAATAAACCTTTCAATGTGCAAAGAAAGACCACGGGGGCTGCAGGTGGCAGTCATACACTCTGAAAGGCTTCTTAAAGGACAAGGGATCAAGTGATCAAGCTTCAACCAACTTCATCTGTTAGCTCTGGAGAAGGATAAAAGGCTGCCCAGGCTAGAAAATGCAGCACTAGAAAAGCGCAATCATCAGAAAGGAGCCTTAGGATGAAAGTTGTGCGAGGTCTTTGGGGGAAGAGCAGGGCACATGGGGATGGAATGGGGAGATGGTGGAGGAACACAGAGCTCCAAGTCATGCGCACTCCTGAGCACAGGCAGAGGGAAGACCCAGGACAGATGTGCTGGGGCCTGGCAGAGGAGTCAGCAGAATCTACTTTCCAGTTACCATCCTTTCCAAGTTCAGCTGCAGCAGTCGCCCACTGGAGGCCTTGCCCAGGGAACAACACTGCACCCTGACCAGGGCCCATCTCAAGCCAGTCAGACACTCCTGCTGTGGCAGTTTGTCAGGGTCCCTTTTCCTCTTGTTGTTTGGAAGGCCACCAAGTTAACACGTGGCCTGCAAGAATATAAACTGCTTCTCAGCTTCTGCTGCTGCTGTGTGGCCAGAAGACCTCATGTTAAGGTCTTAGAAAACTTGCAGCCACCAGACCAGGCAGCTGGCAGCCGCTTCTCCCTGCTCTTTCCCCTTCTGCTGGAGTGGAATATGAACATGGCAGCAGGAGACTGGACCGCCACCTCTGTCCCTACGGTGGCATACTAAGTACAGCAGTGACCAAAACACACACAGGTCCCGACGTGTCTGAGCAGCCACAACCTGTAGCTTACCAGACTCCTGTGCCTTAGGCGGAAAAGTCTCCTTTAAACCACTTCCTCCCCTCGTGGGCCAAGCTGTATTTTTTGTCTCCCACTGTTAAGACCACCCCAGTGCCAAGTAGTAAGTTCCTAGAGAAACAGGTGCTCATAGAAGAGGCAGGTTGGGGGTGTGGCTTGCTTAACCTAGGCCCAATCCTCTGCATTACAGAAAGAAAAGAAAAAGGAAAGGGCAGTGGTTACATCAGAGACCTCTATGCTCTGTTCAAATACCTGCATCTGAATGACAGAGCAAGACTTGTCTCAAAAAATAAATACCTGGGCTGGCCTGATAGCTTAGTGGACTAAAGTACCTACTTAGGCAGACACAGGGACTGGGGTTCAATCCCCGGTGTGTGGTGCTGGCCCCACCCTCGGGGCACACTGAGATGGCAATTAAGACTGGGTGTGGCTGGGCTGGTGAGATGGCTCAGTGGTCTAAAGCACCTACTTAGAACAAGCTTAGCAAAGCACAGGGACCGCGGTTCAATCCCCCAGCACCACATGCCAGCCAGCCCCGCCCCCTGGTGGGCTGAGCTGGCCACACACAGAAAAAATAAATAAATAAATGGGTGTGGTGGCACACACGCCTGTAATCCCAGCACTTGGGAGGCTGAAAACAGGAGAATCACTATGAATCCGATCTGCATAGTGAGACCCTGTAGAGCCTGTCCTACATACAGAAAACAAAAACAAAAATACTGAATTCCTTTTAAATGTTTTTAGGGTCTAAGAATTTGGCCTGAAGGAGAATCATAGAACTATTTTAAAGCTATTCAGAACCCTTGAAAAAAGGGGCAAATAGTATAGCTGATCACTTTTCCCCCCAGAAGTGGGAACTGAGCACAGGGCCTCAGCACGGTAGGCCACTGCTCCCTGATCTACACCCCTAGCCATCTCTATTTGAAAAAGGTCTTGGTAAACTGATCAGGAGACCTCAATTTTATAACCCTCCTGCCCCAGCTTCCTGACTAGCTGAGATTACAGTGTACACTTCTGAATGTTTTTATATCATTCAACACATGGCTCTAACATCAATAGAGGTGTATTCAAAATCAACACAGCATATCCAATTTCTTCATTCTTGAGAAAACATCAAAGAAAATTTTCAACTGAAAAAGCGCACTGCTTTTAGTTAAACCCCAACACCTTTCGCAGGTAAAGAGCAATCAGGCTGCACAGCGGCCATGTCTCCACTAGTTCAGAACAGCTTATGTTAAAACTTCTTAAATGTCACTTAAATAAGACAACACCAAAAGAAAAGGTTCAAACCCTAAGGGAGCTCAACTGTCACTGAGACTTTGAACTTTGGCAGTGTGGCAGGCTCAAGTATCTTCAGGTTCATAGTCCCAAGCATTGTGCAGGTCAACCGTGACTG